AACAGTACCGCAACAAATACACAAAGACAAACCCTCCAATTCTGTCTCTATCTGTAAAGCTCACCCTTGTTGCAGCACTTTCACAAGTGAAGTAGATTTCTGATTTTTTGCTCAGAGTTTGTCTTCTTTTTCAAGAAATATTCTAAACCTCTAAATATTTGCATGCTCATACAAATGAATTGAATGTTTTAAAGTCTTTCCTGCTTTATAGATATAAAGAAATTCCTGATTGCATGAAGATGGAACATTTATTACTTCCAGAAAAGGTTGAAAGATGATCAGATATTAAAAGTGCTAGCCTCTGAAATACATAACACAGAATAAGTAGTGACTGAACATTCTAATTTTTAAATCCAGAATAACTAATTTATATATTACAAAATTCCAAGATGTTTATGCTTTGGATAAGGAAACAGTTAGGAAATGTGAAATTTGTACTGTTTTTATGCCTTTAGGATTTGATATATCAATATGTTAAGTGATAGCTTACTTCTGGTTTGGACGGAATGGTGACATTCCAACTTAGGTTAATAATTCCCAGTGTAACTGATATATTAATTGATTTAAACCAGTTAATTTTGGTCTTTGGTGAAGATATGTGACATGGTGGGTAGAAAAGGGACATCTAAAAATGAATGGGGAATGAATTCCACCTGTTGTGTCTATTCTTGCGTCTATTCAATTTATATTTCTCCTTGGGGAGAATGCAACTAATGCTTAATTTCAAAAACATATAATATTCTTATCAGAATGTCTAAATCATTGAGTTGTTAGGTTTCTAATTCATATTGAAAATATTGAATAATGCAAAAAAGCACATTCATGACATGTATTGTAGTATAATGTTTTATTAAAGCAGGTGGGGTATTAGAAGGGCAAATATAACTTTTCTAGGTTCTTGTGGGTTTTTTTGGGGCTATAGGGCCATGTTCTAGAGGCATTTTTCCTGACGTTTCGCCTGCATCTATGGCAAGCATCCTCAGAGGTTGTGAGGTCTGTTGGAAAATCCAACAAATGCTACGTTCAGCCAAGGACAAGAGGGATCCTCTCACCTCTGCAGGAGTCTACCGTATCCCATGCAGCTGTGACTAGGCCTGTTTGATCAAGAAAAAATTTGTTTCTAAACTCGTTTTGTAATTGGGGTGTTTTTTTGTTTCGATATTTAAAATAATTACAAAACTTTCCCAAAAAAAGTTTTGGTATTTACGAAATTTTGTAAATATTAACGAATTTTTAGAATATTTTTTTGTATTTTTAATATTAAAATAATATTAAAAAATAATATTAAAAAATAATATTAAAAATAATATTAAAAAATAATATTAAAAAATATTTTAAAATGGAAAACGAAACCGCACAGGCCTACTATACAGACATAGCGGGTTTGAGTCAGACCCAGCTAACACCTCCCAACAAAGGATTCCCCTGAGCAGGAAGGAGCCAGACTTTGAAGCTACAAGGCCATTTAATCCCAATCAAGCTGTCCAAACTCCATTTGCCTAGTTTCCAACAGACCTCTGAGGATGCCTGCCATAGATGTGGGCAAAATGTCAGGAGAGAATGCTTCTGGAACATGGTCATACAGCCCAGAAAACTCACAGCAAGCCTGGATGCAGCTCCTGCGCTCCGCCTCCGGGGGCCCGGCTCCTGTGCCCTCCGGGAGAGAAAGAGAAGGAAGGAAGGAAGGAAGGAAGGAAGAGAGAAGAAAGGTGGGAGTGAGGCTAGGCAGAGACGAGAGAAAGAGAGAAGGAGGGAAGGAGACAGAGAGAGAGGGAGAGGGAGGAGAGAAAGGGGGAACGCGAGAAAGAGAGATAGAAAGAGGGGAAAGGGGGAGTGTGTGAGAGAGAGAGAAAGAGGGAGGGAGTGAGAGAGAAGGGGGAGGAAGGAGGGACGCGAAAGAGAGAGAAAGAGGGGAAACGAGGGAGTGTGTGAGAGAGAAAGGGGGAAAGAGAGAGAGAAGGAAGGAGAAGGAAGGAAGGAAGGAAGGAAGGAAGGAAGGAAAGAAAGAAGAGAGAAGAAAGGAGGGAGTGAGGCCAGGCAGGGACGGAGAGAAAGAGGGAACTCGAAAAAGAGAGGGGGGAGGAGGGTGTGTGAGAGAGAAGGAGGGAGGGAGAGAAAGAGAAGGATGGAGTGAAAGAGAGAAGCGGGAGGAAGGAGGGAACGCGAGAGAGAGGGGGGGGAAAGGAGGGAGTGTGTGTGAGAGAGAAAGAGGGAGGGAGTGAGAGAGAAGGATGGAGTGAAAGAGAGAAGCGGGAGGAAGGAGGGAACGCGAGAGAGAGAGGGGGGGAAGGAGGGAGTGTGTGTGAGAGAGAAAGAGGGAGGGAGGAGAGAGAAGGAGAGGAAGGAAGGAAGGAAGGAAGGAAGGAAGGGGAAACGAGGGAGTGTGTGAGAGAGAAAGGGGGAAAGAGAGAGAGAAGGAAGGAAAGAAGGAAGGAAGGAAGGAAGGAAGGAAGGAAGGAAAGAAAGAAAGAAGAGAGAAGAAAGGAGGGAGTGAGGCCAGGCAGGGACGGAGAGAAAGAGGGAACTCGAAAAAGAGAGGGGGGAGGAGGGTGTGTGAGAGAGAAGGAGGGAGGGAGAGAAAGAGAAGGATGGAGTGAAAGAGAGAAGCGGGAGGAAGGAGGGAACGCGAGAGAGGGGGAAAGGAGGGAGTGTGTGAGAGAGAAAGAGGGAGGGAGTGAGAGAGAAGGATGGAGTGAAAGAGAGAAGCGGGAGGAAGGAGGGAACGCGAGAGAGAGAGGGGGGGAAAGGAGGGAGTGTGTGTGAGAGAGAAAGAGGGAGGGAGTGAGAGAGAAGGATGGAGTGAAAGAGAGAAGCGGGAGGAAGGAGGGAACGCGAGAGAGAGAGGGGGGGAAAGGAGGGAGTGTGTGTGAGAGAGAAAGAGGGAGGGAGTGAGAGAGAAGGATGGAGTGAAAGAGAGAAGCGGGAGGAAGGAGGGAACGCGAGAGAGAGAGGGGGAAAGGAGGGAGTGTGTGAGAGAGAAAGAGGGAGGGAGTGAGAGAGAAGGATGGAGTGAAAGAGAGAAGCGGGAGGAAGGAGGGAACGCGAGAGAGAGAGGCAGGGGCGGGGCTTGGCTCACTGGGTGCGCGCTCGCGGCGCCCCTTTGCCCCGCCCGTCCGCCCCATTTACAAAACGAGCGAAAGCTCGTAAATACTCTTGGAGTTGACGTTTTGATATTTTTTTTTTTTTTTTTTCTTTTCTTGTTTTTTTTTTTATTTTTTTAGTTTTTGGTGTTTTTTTTTTATGTCTTCGCCCCGCCCGTCCGCCCCATTTACGAAACGAGCGAAAGCTCGTAAATACTCATGGAGTTGACGTTTCAATATTTTAAAACCCTTCCGGGTTTGAAATATTGTTTTGTTATCGTACCGTAAATGCAAAAATTAACGAATTAATAACGGATTAACGGATTAACGAACGAAACCGCACAGGCCTACTGTGGACAAGTCTACATAGGGACCACCAAACGCAGCGCCCAAACACAAATCAAGGAACATGAAAGGCACTGCAGACTACTTCAACCAGAGAAGTCAGCCATAGCAGAGCACCTGATGAACCAGCCTGGACACAGCATATTATTTGAGAACACAGAAATGCTGGACCACACCAACAACCACCATGTCAGACTACACAGAGAAGCCATTGAAATCCACAAGCATGTGGACAATTTCAAGAGAAAGGAAGAGACCATGAAAATGAACAAAATCTGGCTACCAGTATTAAACAAACTCTAAAATTACAACAGCAAAACAGCAGAGAGGAAACAACCAGGCACATCTTAACACCTCTCAACAAAAGATTTTCCCAGGCTCAGGCAGGCCTTCAAATGCTAATGAAGGTGGTCAGTTGAAACATTCACACCTAGCTCTAGCAGAGAAGAGCTCTTTGCCCCACCCCAGCCATTCCACAGATATATAAACCCATTGTCCTATTTCCTAACAGACCTCACTACTAGGGCTGGGCGGTTTCGTTTCGTTAATTCGTAATTCGTTAAAAATTCGTTATTTTTTTTTTACGAAGCGATAACGAACCATTCTGGAGCAACTTAAAAACGAAACGAATTTTTCAATTCGTTTCGTAAATGCTTCGTATTTCGTTATGTATTCGTTTCGTTATTGGTTTGAGGTCGTTTCGTTATTATTTCCGCATGTCTGGGGCAAGTTTTATAGTTGTTTTTTGTTTAATTAGTGAAAAAAAATTATAATATCACACCAACAGTCAACAACAGAGGGAGAGGGAAGCTTCAGAAGTTTTTTTAGCGTATTGCGCGATCGCGGCCGCCATTAACGAATCGATTCGTTATTGATTCGTTATTGTTTTGTAATTTTTTTTACCATTTACGAAATTTCGTAAATATCGAACTTTTTTTAAGGAAAATTTCGGAATTCTTTTAAATATCGAAACACAAAAAACCCCAAAAAACGAATCGATTTTAGAAACAAATTTTTCCGTTGTTAACAACACTACCTCACTACCTCTGAGGATGCTTGCCATAGATGCAGGCGAAACGTCAGGAGATATGCCTCTAGAACATGGCCCTATAGCCCGAAAAAACCCACAAGAACCTAGTGATTCCAGCCATGAAAGCCTTCGACAATACATTATAACTTTTCTTCATGATTCTGTCTTTTATTTGAACACGGAAATAAAAAGGAAGGTTGCAATATCTTTTATATGAAGATGTCAGTGCTCTTGAAGCAAAAAGCCAAAGTAACATTCTGTAGTTCCAGAACATCTATTTTAAAAATCAAGTATATAGCATGGGTAAAAAAAAAACCTAATGCGAAAATATTACAAAGTTATTGGGTTTAAATTTTTAAAAGTCCCTGGATAACATTTGCAATAGAAAAGCTATGAATACGGTGTCATTGTTATAAACAACTTCTGGCCTGACAGATTGTTATTTCTGCCCACTGACAAAAAAGATTCTGAAAAAAGAAAGCAGACATCCTTTTGAAGGAGAGATCCCAGTGTGTCCTGCCCATGGAATAACACATTTGATTTACCTCCATTGTCCTTTAATGTAAAGTTGGGATTTGAAGGAAAGCTGTCATCCAGGGAAAAATAAAATCTTTGTCCATTTGCAAAGTCATCCTTGTCCGTAGCACTGATCGTCTGAATAACCTGGAAGGAAAAATGCAATAATGAACTTTGATGAACTTTGAACTGGATCTAAATTTTGACAGGGATTTATTAGCTCGGCTTTTAAACAAAATATTCAACTTGGCTGGCCCATCAGCCTAAATCCTGTTGGGGACTTACATCTAGAATCATAGAATCATAGAGTTGGAAGAGACCTCATGGGCCATCCAGTCCAACCCCCTGCCAAGAAGCAGGAATATTGCATTCAAATCACCCCTGACAGATGGCCATCCAGCCTCTGTTTAAAAGCTTCCAAAGAAGGAGCCTCCACCACACTCAGGGGTAGAGAGTTCCACTGCTGAACGGCTCTCACAGTCAGGAAGTTCTTCCTCATGTTCAGATGGAATCTCCTCTCTTGTAGTTTGAAGCCATTGTTCCGCGTCCTAGTCTCCAGGGAAGCAGAAAACAAGCTTGCTCCCTCCTCCCTGTGGCTTCCTCTCACATATTTATACATGGCTATCATATCCCCTCTCAGCCTTCTCTTCTTCAGGCTAAACATGCCCAGCTCCTCAAGCCGCTCCTCATAGGGCTTGTTCTCCAGACCTTTTATCATTTTAGTCGCTCTCCTCTGGACACATTCCAGCTTGTCAATATCTCTCTTGAATTGTGGTGCCCAGAATTGGACACAATATTCCACAATATTTATAACTGCAATGACTTCTGAAGGAATTACAACTGGGCAATTCTATATTTGTATCTAGTAAAATGCTACTGTTATGTTACTATCTAGAGGGTTAACAAAATGACTGATATGCACTGGAAGAAATAAACATGAATTTTGCAGTGTATTGGTCCCATTGTACATTAGGATAGCAGCTAAAGAGTGTCAATGCATGCCATGATAGTGTTGCTGGTATCCCATTCACAATTCATTAAGAGGGCTTCTTAATGCCTTTGCTACATACCTAAGTCTATGTTAAGTTATGTAACATCTATCTTTTGAGAGGTTAAACACATATTATTTGAAATGTTGTGTCAATATACTGGAATGCAATAGAAGGGATAGAACCATTTTCCTTTCTAATCCCTCTTATGACCCTTCATTTTGTTGATCTTAATTTATAGTCTTTATGTTCTGTTTGCTTTGTAAGCAATTTCTTTCACAGTACAAAGTAATTGTTTTGGAAAGCGTCCTCTTGTATAGATTATTTTAATGGCAACATCCACAAGTACAACTTTTTGCTCTTGTTTAAAATTTTCTCCACTACTTTTCATTTGCAATCCCCAAAGAGTTTGCAGCACATCAAAAATCAATAGAACAAAACAAATAGAATTACATAAGCAGATACACCATTCCATTATACATTTTAGGAAGATCAAAACAGTTCATAGCTAGAGGATAGCCAAAATTAGAGGGGAACAAAGAGTCAGCATTGTGGTCCGATGTACCACAGAGTGGATATAATGACCCAACATCATCACAGAGCATTGCCATTCCCAAATGGTGAATGGTGAGGCTATGACAGGCACAACAACAGGGAGGTAATTCTTATTTATTTTATTTTATTTTATTTATTTATTTAAAAGTTTTCTATACCGATCTTCTCACCTACAAGAGGGACTCAGATCCGGTTCACAACATGTGTTCATATACAAAAAAAAAACACACACAATGCATCATCATTACACAATTAAAAACATATTACAATACAACATCGTCATCATCACACTTATATAGCCACGTCGTCAAATCATTCCTGGTCATAATTCACAGTTATTCATTCTCCTTCCATGTGGACCAAAGTTGACTCAGTTATCAAAGGCCGCATTCCATAGCCAAGTCTTTGTTAGCTTCCTGAATGTCAGGAGAGAGGGAACAGTTCTAATCTCCTGTGGGAGTTCCAAAGCCGGGGAGCCACCATTGAGAAGGCCCTGTCTCTCATCCCCACCAACCGCGATTGTGACAGTGGTGGGATCGAGAGCAGGGCCCCCCTGGAAGATCTTAAAGACCTTGATGGTTCGTAGGGGAGAATCCGTTCGGACAGGTAAACAGGGCCAGAGTCGTTTAGGGCTTTGTAGGTCAAAACTAGCACTTTGAATTGTGCTCGGAAGCTAATTGGCAGCCAGTGGAGCTGGCGTAACAGAGGGCTTGTATGCTCCCTGTACCCAGCACCCGTTAGAAATCTGGCTGCCAAGCGTTGGACAAGCTGCAGCTTCCGGGCAGTCTTCAGAGGCAGCCCCACATAGAAAGCATTACAGTAATCTAAACGGGATGTAACCAAAGCGTGGACTAATATTCTTTTTGAGGGAAGCAATGAATAATTTTCACAATATTCTTCCAACTCTGAAAATCATCACATTTTTGAAAACTTTTGATAACTCAGGATTCTTCTGCACAACACTTGAACATGGATATTTTGCAAAGAAACCAGCATTTCTATAGATAAATACAATTTTTGTGAGGAATAAATGGTTGATTCTGAATGTTATGCAGAATAAAGCAAAAGCAGAAGGCCAGGAAGGGAGAAACGGAGTTACCTGTCTGAAGGAAGGAAGGGATGATGAGGCAAAAGGAGAGGAAACACAAGAAGAGTTTTGAAGAGGAAGCTGTCATGTTAAGGTTGCGGTTCTCTACTGAATGCCAGAGGCAAAGCCTCATTTCAATTTATGAAAGCTACCTGAGCTGCCAGCAGAGTAAACATGCCTCCAGATTCTTCAGAGGCTTGCGAGGCAGCCATACTCCTCCCTTCGAGCATCAGAGATCCCCACATGCTTAATGTGTCACAAAGGAAATCAATAAAAATGTAATATAGAAGGCAAAATAATTATAAGGAATTTTTAAAATTGACTTTGGTGATTACACTGATTATTGATAGTTGCCTTATTAGTAATGAAAGAATGGAATTACAACATTATAAAATGAATACGCAATTTCTATATTCCAGTAAATTGTCAGTTACCATTTTCTCTCTTGTCCTAAGTCACTTAAGCACTAAGCCCTAACCACTTAAACAGTGCTTCTTAAGCACTGCCTCTTATTTTAATCCCAATCCCTTAATTGTGTAGTCCTCAGTCAGTAGACATTCTGGGAAAACAGCTTTTGGAAGTTTGTAATATGCTCAGCCTCTGACATACATAGATGAATAAAAGATTGCAAAGCTGCTACTGAATTTCTGCCTATAAGGCATTCAAAGAGCTATGTGTATGTGTGTTTTTCCACTGACAAAACATCTGAGAATCTTTGAACAAAGAAAAAAGAACTAGAAAGTATTTTGCAATTTTTGTTTTTTTCCAGGGAAGATGACTGTAGCATACTGCATGCAATGAAGAACGCAAGACAATCCCAGCACCTAATATTCCATTTCTAAGGAACTTGGAGCGGGGGAAGTGCAACTTTGCATTTTCAAGGGAAAGGAATTAAATCAAGAAGGAAAGTCACACTTGGGCTTCTGTTATTTCTCTGGTTGTAACTCAGTAGCAAGTTGCAGAATAAGCAAAGGCACCACAGTTACGCAGATAATTTCGTTCTGTGCAAATATGAAGACAAATTGTTGTGAGACATTATCCTAGCATTAGGAAATAAAAAATAGGATTTAAGGACAATAAAATTTCCACATTTGCAGATTGCTAGACTACAATTTAAAATGTATGCATGTAAGGGTATGAAACTGTCTTTACTATGAAGATAACTGTGAATTCAAACATTGATTTTAAAAATCCACAATTTCTTCTCCAAACTAAAGAATAGATCTCAGATACAGCAAACACAAACTGAAACATCAGCACCCATTGGGATTTTTCAAACTGATAAAAAAACAGAGGAAGGACACTATCATAAATAAATACAAAGGTCAATTCAACCTGAAGGACTCTCAATACTTATTCAAAGCTGGCCTCATTCTACTTAAGAGGTACTCCTTATTTAGAGAGCATCTATGGCAACTGTGTCTCCCAGGTATCTCATGCTTGTGGCATTATTATGACTCTGTATACAAATGTATAGTGTGATAGTATTTGTTATAACTATACAGAGTTCTTTATATTGCACCTAAAATGCCTTTTCTGAATTGCTGGGGAAGGAGCAGTAAAAAGGGCTACTAGAATGATCAAGGGACTGCCTTACAAGGAAACATTACAATAGTTGGGGTTGTTTAGCCAGAAAAACACAAGGTGAGCAATGGGAGATATAATAGACGGGCATAAATGCACTGTGTACAGAAAAATACAGAAAAAAGAAGCTTGTCTCTCTTTTGTGTCATACTAAAAATAATGTCTATTTCACTTAGAAAGGAATGGTGGGAAATTCAATGATGATGATGATGATAATGATGATGATAGTAAGTCTTTATTTATTAGGGTTGGATAGGTTCATTTGGAAAAGACTGAAATTCGGGATAAAACATACAAATTTGAAGATCCAATGCAGTTTTGAACCATGCAGGAAAGGTGGTGGTGGGGGGATCCAAATTTGAACCACTTACCTTTTTTTGTTTTGTTTTGTTTTTGGAAATATTCTATAATGTTCAGATGTCTCTCAAGGTTATTTTAATTTTCACAACCATTAAGCATTTGGTAAAGCCTAAGAAGTTTCAAAATCTCATGCCTTCCGCCGGTGATGCAAGGAGGAAAGTGGTGGGAGTGGCTAATCACATCTTTAACTGTAGTTTGTGAAGGCCAAGCTCCCAATGGTAGAGATTGCAAAAGGCTCTGCTGTTAAACTACATTTCCCACAATGCTCGCCTGCTCAATAGCCAAAACGGCTGAAGGACCCAAAAATAGCTGTATGTAGCAGTTTTCATCTAAATATAAAATAAACTGATTGAATCTACAAAGGTGTCTAAAGAAGGCAGCAAAGCAATATGTAACTTTTGCAAAGTCAAGAGAACATAAACTGCTTAAAAGCCAATCATTTTACTTTTGCCTGATTTGCATGAACAAGGCTCTGGGGTAGCCAGCCACAGCCAACCAGCAGGCCATTTACAGTAATGATAAATAAAATGATCGATTGCATCTGCAAAAAGGAATAAACGGATGTGTCTTGA